GGGGGTCGCCTTTGCGCCAAGCGCCAGCACCACTGGATTTGAACTGTTACCGAAATCTGATGATAGCTCTCTCTCTCTTGCTTTCGCGGAAAGTTGTGTCCGTTTGCGGCAGCAGCAGACGCTTGACTGCCCGACTGAACGAAAAAATGAATACATGAGTGAAGGAATGAATGAATAGCTCCTCGATGCCTGAGTAGCGGCTTTCTTTTGTCCCGACGCCTGAGTAACTGATTGGGGGAATGACACAAACTATTTCAACTGACTGGCTGAACGACGGAATTGACTGCCTTGTAACAAACTAACTGACCGAGAGAGTGACGAACCTGGTCCTGTACGAGTGAGATAAGGGGGGAGAACACGACCGCTAGCCCCGGGCAGCAGCACGCCGGTAGCTGGTAGCAGAGGCTCTTCCCACCTCCCGTGGGCATCAGCACGAACACGTCTTTTCCTTTCATCGCGTCCTGCATGGAGAGGGCGCCGGGGCGCGCGCGCACGGGCGCGAGGGGGGGTCATTGCTGGCTGAGGCGGAGGAGGTACTTGCTGTAGTAGCTGGCTCTGGCATGAGTACGTACGACTATATCTTTCTCTGCCATCGCTGTCATCGTGTCCTGCAAAGGGGGGCGGGCTCGGTGATCGCGGTGCGGGAGGAGGCACTTTCCGCAGAAGCTGGCGGGCATGAGCACCGAGATGTATTTCTCTGACATCGCCGTCATCGTGTCCTGGGGGGGTAAGTGGTGTTCGCTGGGGGAGGAGGTACTTTCCGCAGCAGCTGGCGGGCATGAGCCCCAAGATATGTTTCTCTTGTCATCACGTCCTTGAGAAGCAATGTACGGTATCGTCGAACGGGATGCGGGGGCAGCACCAAAGAGTGGAGTGAACCCGGTACAAACGTGGAAAAATTCCACGGCACCCCCACAACCCTATTGGCCGTAAATATCGTGCTACAAATAGACAATTGTATCATGGGTCATATCAACTACCATGCAAGAGAACAAGCTACCAGCGCCTTCAGCTCCTGTATGTCGCTCTTTCTAACGACTGTCTCGTGGAAAATCATTCTACTTGCCAATGCGTCAGTCTCGTGGAAAATCAACCGGGTCGATGTGCATCTTTATCGGCCTTAAATTACCACGGAAGGAGCTCATCTTGCTGGTACGGTACGGGTTGGACAACGACGGGATGTGGTGAAGGGTACGGGGGAGTGGCCGGGATGGAGATAGCAATTGGTAACAACTCGCGCAGAGACGGCTTCACCCATGAAGAAGCAACAACGACAACGACGGCAACAACAAGAGACACAAAGACAATCCGCAGAACCTGAACTTGGCGTGCCCATCAACAACAAACCGCAACAACAACAACATCATCATCATCAACATCAACAACAACGACAACAACAACAACGGACAACAACAGGCAACAAACAACAACGAGATCAACAACATGAACAACATCAACAACGACACCAACGACAACCACAACAACTCACCACGATGACTTCCTCCTGCCCAGTCCTGAATTTGGCGTGCCCGAAAATGTCCGACACTTCCTTGCGGATGTCGAGCTGCTTTCCGTTGGCAACACCGCCGGGTAGCCCCCCTCCCCCCGACGGTCTATTCCCACCGTTTCCCTGATCAATAGCGTGGCGGGGAGGCATACACATGTTACACAATCTTCATGACGTTATACAAGTGCCGCCAACACAGGTAGGTCATCTACATGCGTACAACAGTGCTTGCATAACCATCGATAGGAGGAATAGCTGTGCACACACATGGCCACATTTTCGAAACGATTCGTTAGGCTATTCGAAGCGCTACCCTACACCCACTCCTCCGTTAAAGCACAACTATCTCCAGCTCCTCGATCGCCACCAATAGGCTGGCGCCAATGACAAGAAAAGAGCTATTCCCTCCGAAAAAACACGGCTGAGCGTCAACAAAGCTTTCTAACAAAACAGTCGCCATTCGGATACCATTTCTTCTTGCTCGTCTCTCTTGCATCGAGGGGGTAAATTACAGTACAGACACAATTTGGCTTTATAACATGTTTTCGATATCCTCCTTTCTCCTTGTTTGCAGATAGCGGGCGAGCCCCTCAACACAAAATAAGTATTTAGTGCATTGTGTGCCTTAACTTGACTTGCGGCATGCACTTCTTTTCGGCCACCCACGCAGTGTGGGGAGAAGGCGGACACACCGTGCGCCGCAAGCCGCACACAAGACGCTTCGGAAGCTCTGCTTCTCCACGACCAACAGGGCGTCCAAAATCAAGTGATGACTCGTGCGCTTTCGAAAAAAAGCTCTCTGCGAGGCGGTTCCAACACCCCCATACTCTCGCTTCGCTGCAGAGCCAACCGAGCTCTGAGAATCTGTCCAGGGGGTGTAGTGTAAGCACCATACGCGATCCCTACGGCACAAAACCCTCGTGGAATAATAACATATTAACTCGTTTACGACATCTATTGTTGTGTCTTCCGGTGTAATGAGGAACATAGCCGGGGCCCCCCCTCTATAAGTGCGGGTATGTGCCTTTCACACGCACTTTAGCGGGGCACCCGAACTACTCGAATGTATCGACCATCTTTGATTATTCCATCCGTCCGTGCCAGCAGCCAATTTCACCCGCACTGCTCCGGACAACCAACCCCGCACAGAGGAGAGAACCCGGCTGTACGGAACACACACCGATCTTCACCAAGAATGCTAATACCTACAACCCTCGGTTCTCACCTCCCCATCGAGCCACTCGAAGAAGCCGCACTGCTCCCCGCCGTTCTTAGGCAGGGGGCACTTGTAGAACTCCCGGCCCGGGTTGTTCTCGCTCGTGGACGTGAGCTTCACGCACCGCTCCCCGTGCTCGCACAACGGTGTCCCGTCGCCACCGTCCTCTCTGTTGTTGTTGTAGCCGTTCCCCCCTGAATGAACGAAGGAGCAAAAAAAAGAAAAATGTGGGTGGCTTCAATACAGTAGCGCCATCACCAAAGAACCCCTAAGAGTTACGGCCGAGACTGTGAGGTTCTTCTTTCCTAGGATACGCTACGAATGGCCGCAATATAGGCTTCAGTGCACAACGAACAAAAAACAACGGTAGAAGAAATGCGGGTGATCTTTGATGCCACGCCTGTGCATGAGCAGCGGCGTAAGGCATAGCGGGCCAAAGCTGCCCTAGCCTCGGGAGCCTAATTCGCCACGAGGGCATCGATTGTGGTGGACAAAATACGATGCTGACTTCAATTTGCACTTAACGCCCGCAATACAGAACCCCCAGTTTTGCCCCGAGGTTCTGGTATGCTACGAATAACCGCAGGGGTTCTCAGCCGAGCTCAAAAACGGTGCTCAAGTTCATTGATTTTGAAATCTTCCAGGCTCAATTTCTTAGCTGACAAGTTCTTTCATAGCGCTAGCTGCACCACGTCTGTACACGAGCGGCGTAATACATGGGGGGCAAAAACTACCTCGACCTTGGGATCCGAATTCGCCACGCAGGTACCAATTGCGGATGATAGGCACACGATGCCGGTTTGTTTCATTTTCTCACATGGAGCGGTTCGGTTCTTTGTTCATCTCGAAATGTGACCGGCCGCGAGAAAAAAAAAGGGTGTGGCAACGTATTCGCGACGTATCTCCAACCACTTTTGTTCTCGAAAGCCCATGCCAGTAGGAAATGCTTTCGGAATCTATAAGGGTGAAAAAAAAGAAAAAAGAGGAGGGCGGCGCCACTACCTCGTGGTACATGAAAACCAACGAGACCGTTGACGTTATCGTGCGGGCGGTGAGATCTAATTTACAGTCGCCATCATACCTTGCCATTACCCTCCCCCGAGGCTTGCGCTGAATGGTTCACGCGGGCAACAGCAGCGTCAAAAAACCCGCGCTGGTTGACTAACGTGGGAAACAGCAGCGCCAACGCCGGGAGGCTTGCGCTGGTTGTCTACATATCGTGGGAAGCTTGGGTAGTGCCACGCCTCATCCCACCCTATCTCACCTCCCTGCCCGCCATACCCCCCTCCCCAGTCACCGCCACGGCCGCCTCCACCGAACCCTCCGCCGCTCTCGTAGCTCATTCCAGACCCACCACCGGTGTTGCCGGAACCCCCACCTGCTCCGTACCCCCCGCTGCTGTCGTAACTGCCCCCGCCCCCGCCATACCCACCGCTGCTGCTGTTGTCGTAGCTGCTCCCTCCGTAGCTGTTATCGTAGCCCCCCGCCCCCCTTCCGAAAGCGGGCGATCTCTGATGATCCGCTCCCCCGCTGCCGCTGCCGGCGTACCGGTCGCGCGGGGTCCCCGGTGGCGGAGGAGAGCCCCAAGATTGCTGGGTCCTGTTCGAGGCAGGCAGGCATACAAAAAAGTCGTTGATATATATTTTTTTGAGTTGTTGTGTTCGATTCGAGTTGATTGGAGAGAGAGGGCTGGAGAGGCAGGGGGGCAGGGGGGGAGGGGGGTTCGCAGAGGGGAAAGAGAGGTGGTGGAGTCCAATTGATCCCCAAGATTGTTGGGTCTTGTTAAGAGGCAGGCGCACAAAAAAATCGTTGATATTGAACATGTTCTTAATGCTTATAGTCAAGTTGATTTGAGAGAGACACGACAGGAGAGGAAGGGGGGGGGGGGGGGGGTGTACTCATAGTCGTGCATGCCGTAGTTGTTAGACCATTGACCTCGCATCCCTACAAGCCGGGACAGAGCACGCCGGGTTCTCACCGGACCAGGCTCCCACATCACCAAGCGCGAAGCAACTAGGGTGATTTTGATCAACTCCCTGATGCCGCAGGGCAAACCTGTACCTAACTTCTTGAACCGCTGATACTGTTGCTGTTGTGCAGCAATCCCCTTCTGACGCCGGCGTTAATGAAGTCATGATGTTGACGTGAAAGTGCTCGAAATTACGCAGGGGCACAAGAGAGGCGACGTGCAAAGCTGCTCGTATGAAACGCCTAGCTGTTGAACAAACTCCTTTGGACGTTTCGGAGCCAGACAAACAGACCAACTGAAAGCACGTCGATCTCGGACACCAGCTGGAAGCGCAAGCAGGGGTGGGGATACGACTTCATGTTTTCGTTCTCCTTCGTTCTGGTGCCATCTACTGCTGTGGCCTGTAGTCCACGCGTTTCGGTACTCTGCATATTTGACCGCATCAACCGGCGTTACCAAGTCTCTTACGTCAGCAAGTTCATTCTGTACCCGACACACGGGTTGATTCTGCCGGGCTTAAATCGCATATCCCTCTTCCCGCATGCTCTCACCTCATGACGAAAGTGTGCCCACCCCCCCCACCGCCATCACCGTCACCTCCCGTCATGGGAAGGTTGCCAAGAGGCGTTCTTGCGCCGCGCGGGGTCTGGGAGGACGGAGATTCCGCCGCCGCGGTTGCCTTGAAAGAGGGGGGTGAAGAACGACCAAACGCAGTTATAAAATAGTTGGAATCGACAACACGGATACATTGGTAGGTGCTTGCTTGTTGTCACGGACGCCGCGAAGATAGAAATAAAAAAAACAGCAGCAAGAGCAAGAGCAAGAGCAAGAGCAAAGAGAGCAGCAGCAACAACCACCAAGAACACGAGTAACAAGAGCAGCAGCAGCAGCAGCAGCAGCAGCAGCAGCAGCCGCAGCAGCGGCGTCGGCAGGAGCAACAGCCGCAGCAGCGCCATCATCACCAACAACAACGAGAGCAACACCACCACCACCACCACCACCAACAACAACAACAACAACAACGACAACGACAGCGCAACACAAACAGCAGCAGCACCCCCAGCAGCAGCAGCAACAGCAGCAGCAACAGCAACAACAACAAGAGCAACACGACCACCACCATCACCACCAACGTCACAGACGCCAAAGCTACCCCGATACCTTCAAGGCTCTCAGCGTCTTGCCCAGACCGGCGATGGCCGTCTCGAGGCCCTGCCTCTCCTCCTGCAGCTTCTGTGGGACTTCGTACCCTTCCATGAGAGCTTGGGTCGTCTGGGCCTGGAGCTCCCCGAGGCGCTGTTAGGTTTAATCCATTTGTATTGTTTTTTTGCATCACCGAGAGCAAGAAAAAACATGCGCACGGCAGTGACACGTGTGCGCTGTTTGGTGAGAGTTTGTACTGTTGCTACCGCCCGCCAACAGAAAGCAAAACCGCGACAAGGTGATAACGTGGGGGAGGGGGGGTATGGCTTGTCCGTAGACTATTCTTGGAGTTCTGGGCGAAAGTCATCGAACGGTGGTCGCGTAGTGCGAAACTTGTCGAGAGGTAAGTTCTGCGTCTTTTCATTGGTCAACCGGTTGGCGCAGCTGATGGTAAATTAAACACAGCAACGCACACACGTCCTTTGAGTAGAAACCGAGGTCGGGTTCTTTTTATCTCGCTACAAGATTGACGTAATTTCATTGGCCAGTCGGTTAGCGCAGAGTCAGTCGATGCTAACGCAAGAAAAAACACATACGCCGTCGATTCCACCAACAAAACCACCGACCTCACTCATTGCATATCCGGATTAAGATGCAAAAAAACAAACACCTGGATCTTCCCGGCAATTTCCATCTCCGTCGTTGCAATGTCTGCCTGTGCCTTTGCCTGCTGCTGCTGTTGCTGCCCGCCTCGCTGCTGGTGCTGGTGCTGCTTCTGCTGCTGATGGCGGGGAGGCGGGGTTTCGTGCTGGGTGCCGTGGCGGCGGGAAGGCGGCGGGGGCGGGGACCGGAAAGACCCATCCCCTCCCCCCCCCCCGCCGGCATGTTGGTCCCCCGAGATGCGGCGCTCTTGCTGCCGTTTTTGCTGCAGCTCCCGCTGCTGCTGGGCTTGGATGACGGCTTGCTGAAGAACGAACAAAAAGGGGGCACGGCAGCAAGGAGGACAGAAAAAAAAAGAGAAAGTTGAAGTAATATGCGGGTGGGCTTCTGACTTCCGGGTGATAAAGCCAGCACTCCCCTGGTGCAGACCCAAAACTGATTGATGATGGGGTTTGAGGCGTTTACGCGATTCCAGATTCCTTGCGTTCTAATCACAATAGGGGGCCGGGCTTAGCGACCCCCCGTTTAGCGACATGCCCTGTTTAGAGATAACAAAATCACGTGGCAGCGCCGCACCCCGGTAGTACAATCGGAATGACATTGGTAGTTCGGTTTTGCGACCTGCCCTGAACAGCGGCCACGTTTCGTCGCGACACTAGGGGTCGCTACACCGCCCCCCCCACTGCACTACTGTTTCCGTTTTTTCATCGTGTTGATTTAGCGCCGGTTGTTTTCCCCCGGCCGCGTGAAGGTCGGTCCCAGGTGGTTGCGACTAGCGCCGGACGAGGCAGGTGCGCATGGCAACAAGGAGGAGATTAAGAACGGCGGTTCCACCCCGTCTATCGTAGGTGACATACGCAAGATACCACTGACATCCGCAAGATATCACACCCCCTGGACTGATGCTCGGAGCTCGATTGCTGTTTACTACACGGCAGAAACAGTCGCGGTGTCGAGAAAGGCTGCGTTGGAATCGCCTCGTCGGGAGCTAACGTATCGTTTGATTGATTGGGACATCCTCTTCGTCGCGGAGTGTTGTAATAGTGAACTGAGCCTTGAAAATCGATCCAGGGTGTGTGTGATATCTAGCGTCATGCCACCCACGGTACTCTAGTACGTACATCGAGGTCGAAAGCGACAGCAGCGGCTTCGTCAAAGTCGGCGTCGTATAGGCCCCCCCCTCCCCCTCCCCCTCCCCCTCCCCCTCCGAAATCGTTGTTGGAGGCACCGCCACTGCCTCCAAAACCCTTGGAAGAAGGTGCTGCTGTCGCCGTTGTCGCACCGGGATGGTCAAAGCGCTTCTGCTTGGGGGCGATCTCGTCGCGTAGTCGCTTTCCCACCTGTCGGGAGGTAAACGTGAATTCGCGCGTGCGTTGCGTACGAGCGGCTGGTTGGTGTTGGTTGGTTGTCGTTCACGGTTTGTCTCGCCGAGCAGAGTGCGCCACCAAGCGCAATCTCTGTGTGACCGATTGCATCATTGTCTGTCTGTCTCTTGTTTGGTGAGTCGCGTGGGAGGCAGGACGGGAAGGTGCTGCTATGTGCATCACCCCCCCCCCCCCCCCGAGAAACGTGCGCGGGGCCTCTCGATTTTTCGCCGAAAAACAACACCAACAGCCAAGACCCGACTGACTACGATTACTGGTGTTGGACGCGTCTCAACAATGAACGAACTGCTAACTAACGCAGCCAGCCGGAGGCACACGCGCCTTCACCGAGGGCCTCGACCCCGGCTTCGGGGCGGTGGAGGAGGACGAGCCATCCTTCGCCTTGTAGCTCCGTCGCAGTTGGTCCAGCAGGCCTCTCCCCGACCCCGCGCCGGTGTCGACACCGAGGTCGGCGATGGGAGTGAAGCTCCTGTCGTCCACGACCATGGCAAGGGTCGCGCGAAGAAAAAGATCCTGATGCTGATATTTCGTGTTTGGTACTTTCGTCTATCTACACAGCTTGAAGTTGACGTCGGCGTTGGCGTTGGCGTTCATTAAGGTCGAGAACATCGTGTATTTATTTGGCTGATTTGTTGGTGTTTCGGTGTGTTCTCCATGTAGCTTAAGTTGGTGTCGGTGTTCGTGTTAATCAAGGCCGAAAATGTCGTTTTTTCTTGGGGCTGTCTCTGCTCATGCTCGTAAGGGGGAACAGAGGAACAACAAGGGGTCTCGAAACGTTTGAGCGGCGTGCTTCTCCGTGAGAAATCAATCGCCCTCCGAGAAAGACAATAAATTAAAGTCATTCGTAGCTGTCATCCGTACGCAAGGAAGTAAGCACAAGATGCCGGACACCCTTAGCAGGATGCAGCGCAACTTCCATGCGACTCGCCGAATACCTCACGGTGCTTCGCGCTTGGTGATGTAAGAGCCTGGTCCGGTGAGAACCCGGCGTGTTCCGTCCCGGCTTTGTAGGGATGCGAGGTCAATGGTCTAACAAAAACCGCATGCACGACTATAAGTACACCCAGGTACCACTAAACAGCAGTCAACGCACCAACCTTCTCACGGAGGTTGGTCAGGAAAAAACAACTTCACGGGGCAAAAAACAGAACTTTCAGGGAAGTGGGGGGGTGTACTCATGTAAACGCATGCCGTAGTCATTGGACCATCGACCTCGCATCTCTTCAACGCCGGGATGGAGCAATATGCCGGGTTCTCGGGGGAGGGGCGAAGCGTGAGCTACTGCGCCTGCCAATGCCCGGCAAAACCGCACGTCTTTCGCACCCGTTTCTCTCCCTCCTACTTCCTTCCGTGCGGCCACCGCGTATGTATGATCGATAGCGACAAGAGATAACGAAGGCCATGGAGCGCGGGCACACAAAGACCGCGTAGCACGCACCGAGCACAAGCCCAGCCGCGGCCCGCGTCCTCGCTGGGCCTTTTCTTTTAGTCAACACCGTGCGTTTGGACCAAACCGCGCGTTTGCGGCAAACACAACACGGCACACACCATGGCACATACCATGTTCTTCGTTTTCACGCCGTGCGTTTGGGGCAAAAAGTTATTTGCGGCAAACACAACTACGGCACATACCATGGCACATACCATGGTACCATACAACAAATTTCGCGGTCGAGGAGGCCACACCTGGACGCCTTCCCTCCGTGCTCTCCGATCATCACAACAAACCCGCCTCCGTCATCAGCACCATCTTTGTCGCCACCCCCCCCTCCTCCTCTCCGTTGCCCCCCCCTGGAGGGGGCTCCGTCGATGCCTAGCAGCCCGGCGAAGAGCCCCTTGTTACGTCGGCCACCGGGACTGGCGGCATTGTCCTTTTGTTTGCACGCAGGAATTTCGTCCGGGGGGAGCGCACGCGAGAGGGGGGGGGGTACTCACAGTCGTGCATGCCGTAGTCATTTGACCATTGACCTCGCATCCCTCCAAAGCCGGGACGGAGCACGCCGGGTTTCTCACCGGACCAGGCTCACACATCACCAAGCGCGAAGCCCCGTGACATTGTGCATGCCTTAGTTGATAGACCATTGTCAGGGGGGGCGTAATCATGTGTTGCATGCGTAGTTGTTAGACCATTGACCGCGCGTCCTCATTGACAAGGTCCTCGAGGAGGAGACGGAGCATATTTCCTCACAGGATCGGTGACCCATGCCCAATCGTTCCCGGGAGGGGTAGGCAAATCAAGAGTGCAAATCTTCCCATCTACGCGCTGCAGAGAAGAGGTACAGTTGCAATATGTTCTTGCCAATCAACGGCGCAGCACTCGCTCGGCTTCATGTTTGCGGGGCGCGCGTCGCTAGCTTTTCGCGAACCGCATGCTTCTTGCTCAGCCACGCACCTTGCGACTCTGCCCATCTGGTTTGCGTTGTTTTCGAGCCGTCATACTTGTACTACTGTCTTGTGTGACCACGGATTGAAGTAAACGACAAAAATGCTGTGAGCACTGATGTAAAAATGAATTAACAACATTGGTCTAGGGGGGTGCCATCTCTCCGCCTCTTACAGAACGGTACGGTACATCCCCGAAGCGCCCTCTGCTACGTACCACGATCGTTTCGTGAGGTAGAGATTTCCCGGAACCGACCAACCGACAAGGTCTACCTCACCTTCTCGAGCTTCTCGAGCTGCAGCTTCAGGTTGTCCTTCATCTCGGGCAAAGTGCGCGCCGTCCCCCCCCACCCTGCCTTGGGTCCTGCAGGGGCACAGCCCGGCCCCGCCGCTTTTCGTGTTCGGCCACGCTATGCTGTGGTCACCTGTCTGCGGGAAATCGGCGGGGGAGCGAGTGACTGCTGTGCGCGTGCCCTCTGGTTTGAAAAAACACCGCTTGACGGCGAGCGTCATGGTGTCGATTCATACTTTGTGCGGCGACGTCGGAGAAAAAAAGTAAAGAGAACAAGAAAAACAGCAGGCGGAACAGGTGCGAGTGCATACACGCCACTCAGTTGGTCTTATCTTTTCGATGGGTTTTTGTAAGCTTTCCCAGCGCGTTGGCCGCGGTTACGTTCCCAAAAGCCGATCGAACCGGTGCGTGGACCAACCAACTTTCGGCAATCCATCCCGCGGGTGTGACTGTCCATCCACACCTGCTGTACTCACTCACCGACTGCGGTAGCAGGTGCGTGCACACGAAGTCAACCCCGAGGCAAAAGCGAATGTATCCACATACTGTAGTTCCAAGTGGTTTTCATGGAGCAACGCGTCTACGATGCGAGTGTGGTCAACCCCGCTGCGATAGAGGATCACACGGACAACTACAAACAATAGTCTACCGCGCCTCGTTCGGCCTGGTTCCTGCACAACACACCGCCACAACTCTTGTGATCGTTGTCGTGTCTCGGCGATAAGCGTCTCAGCAGCAGCAGCAGCAGCAGCAGCGGGTGTGTGCTGTGTGCCGCGGTCGCTTCGTAGGCTGTGGTTGTGCAGCAGCCTACACAGAGGTTACACTTCGAGCGCGGGTGCAACTAGATGTGTGCCTCGGAACGAAGAAGCGAAGAAAGATGTTTGATTACTGACTGACTCCCGGGTCAGGCTTCGATGGTGCTTAAGTGGAGTGAGCACAAGGGCGAGAGCGCGCTTGTGTCTCATCTCGAAAACAACAAAGACAAAATCACACAAACCGTCAACGCAGGGTTCTCCCGAGATCTACTCGCTGCACTGGTCTTTCGGGGTCTGTTCGGACAAACCCAAAAGTTTCACCGCAAATATTCCGAGAGTCTCTCTGACGTAATCAGAGTCTCCCTGCTCGACTTCTACATGCAAGCATCTACTAATAGTGTGTATCTAGGACAGATGTCCTCAACTCTCACCTCTCAAGCTATCATCCCTAGGCTACACGTGTACAACACACAAAAGTGTACCTGCACAACATACGCATCACACAGATAGAGACGTCTTGTTGTCTTGCTGCAAATCAACTATAGAGGGAAATGCGTGACTCATGATGCTACTGGTAGTACGCAGGTATCAAGCAATGACGCATATCTCCGACACGACCCCTCCATCAAGAAACACGGCAAACGATGCAGCTCCAAGACCTACTATCACGGGTCAACAAACGATTGACTATACTGACAGTACAAACTAACGCGAAAGGGCTGGCGGCCGATGTCGTCACTAGCTTGTCTTCTTCCTGCCAGCGCGCTGGCGAACTTTCGTGTGTTGCTACTTGCTGCTTCAAATCTCATATCATGTATATATAGTTGCCTACACTGCCTACACACACACCTTTCACGGGACAGGTAAAACTCCCATGCCACGTAGTATCAATTATACATACCATCGAGAACGGTAAACCTGTCTATGCAAGCCGTCTACTCGGCGAACAGCTATTTCTGCTTGCCATATGAACCTACTTTCATGTGCTCGGGTGGTGATGCACACCCACCAGCGAGCAAACTTATCAGCGACTCATCATCAGCGGACAAACGCAACAACAGACGGAACCTGAAACTGGTCAAAGAAGATTCATCGCCGAATTCAAGCCCGTAGCTGGACATGCGCTTGGTGATTCCCGCTTCGCTCTTGAGCTTGGTGCGCCCGGCGATGATGGTCTCGCTGATGTGGGTGGCCGTCTCGAAGTCGAACCGGCCGTCACATTCTTCCTTGTGTGCACTTTCCTTAACCCACCATGCCAAAACGAAGTTCCAAGTTGCGTCTT